CGCCGCGCCACGGCCGAGGCGTCGCCGCGTCGGCCCACGCGACAACCACCACGAACCCCCGGAACGAGCACAGACTCACCTCTCTTCTGTCGGACCCTACGGTTTTCAATTTCATTAGCTACTTCTGCTATCTCATCCTTCAGCCTCTGCAAAACACACAGTCCAGAGTCACCGGGAGGAAGATGCAGGTCAAACTAAAAGCTGTGGAATCTCACAAAACTTCCACCAAAACCAAAATAAAGCAAAATGAAAGTAAGTAAGACAACCCCCCAACTCTAAAATTTCTGGATAATTCATCTATTCAACAAATACGTACTGAGCTCCCCTGCATTCTCGGGAATACAACGGTGAGAAAGATAGCTCCTGCCTGACCTCAAGGATTTTACAGTCTAGGAAGGAAATTCATAATCACACGCACTACATAAAATGTGTGTTTTTCCACTGAAAAACGTCTGCCTCGACCCAGTCTGTCAGAGCGTGTCTGCAGCTCACTGGGCAGGGTCTGACAGAAGACCCCAGGACAACCCTCCCACGCCCTGGGGGCCCAGCCAGCGGTCCTCGGCCAACACGGCCGCCAAGCGGCTGGGGCCCACTGCCCGAGCGTGCCTCCCCGCTCCCCACCTAAGCAGGCCTCCAGAGTGGACGGCCGGCCCGTTGCAGCGGAGGGGCTTGGAGTGAAGAACTGCTTCCTAAGCTTCCCCACACCTACAGTGAAGCAGGGGCCACCCAGGGACACACAAACCAACCCCGGGGCAGGCCCACCTCTCCTGTCCACATTCCGCAGCTGGGGGTTTCGGGCTGTGCCCTCTCCCCGCCCCGCCCCGGGCACCCCAGTGCTTTACGAAGAATCCCGGGAGAGGGGGCTTCCGATCATCCAGTAATAATCCAGCCGGTGGGAACCTTCTCATCCTACAGACGCAGGACCTGAAGTTCAAAGAACCCAAATCTCCACCGAGCACCGCCCTGCCAGAAAGCAGCAGAGCCACGACTGGACGTGGGCCTACTGAGCCCGAAGCCTGGGTTCTAACGGTGTCCCTCAGCCACGCGGCACTCGCTGGGCAGTCAAGAGACCTGGATCACTCTAGCCTGACGGTGACCAGCTGGGTGGAGCTCACAGAGCACCTTGCCCGAGACTCCATTCTCACCTGTCAAGCCGAGGTGATCATCAGTACCTGCGCCTCGTCAGGGCTGCGGTGAGAGCTGGCCAGGTGTCACGAGGACCACCCCCCCCCGCCGCCCCTGGCCACCCTCCCGCCGCCCGGCCTCCTACCTGGATGTCAGCCAGCAGCTCCTGCTTCCTCCGCCGGATGTTCTCCAGCTCCTGCCGCTCCTCTGCAGTCAGGTCACTGGGAACTACAGGGAGGGAGGGCCAGGTCACTAGGAAGGCTGCTACTGAGTCCAAAATAAATACAGCCCAGAGACCACAAAGGACAGAGACACCACGGAAGAGGCGACAAGCTCGTGTCGGAAATGACCGACCGCTGGGGACAGCTCTGGCTTCCGTTCTCTGTCACGTTTACCCAGGTTAGGAGGGAACTTGGGTCACAGAGAAAAGTCCTGATAAAGGAACAGCCATCATAAAACACGAGAGAGCAGAGGCTGCCTAAGGTTGAGTGAGGGGCTGGCCAGCAGTGACGGAGGACGCCATCAGCCAGGCTCCGGCCACTTCCGTCCCGGGCAGGAGGCGGGTGGGCTTCAGGCCCCTGGTCAATCAGACTCTCTGGACAGAGCCCAACCCCGATGCGGGGCAACATCCACGACATGGGAGTGGGAGCACCTGCGAAGCAACAGGAACGCCAGTTTCATGCTGTTTCTGGAGGGGGAAGGGGAGAGACTGGTATGTACAGAAGGGTAGGCCCCAAACTGGAAAACCGCACTGGACCCTGGGCATGGGGCTACGGGGGCCTTTCTCTCTGCTTTACACCGTTTGACATTTTCTGAATCATGTGTTTAAAAGGGCTCTTGTCGTCAGAACAGAGTTGCTGAATTCCCGATCACAGCCGTCGCCATGGAACAACCCCACTCCCCTCAAGACTTCACCCCCCATAAAAGCAGGGGCTGGGGATGGGAAGCTTGGCCCCACGAGGACCCGTCGAAGCACGTGAGGAGCTGTGGGGTCGTCAGAAGGAGTGGCCACGGGCCCAGCCCACCACACAGCAGTGAGGTCACTGTGCGCAGGTTACTGGACCCGTTCGGGCCACATTTCATCACTAATGAAGTGGGGAGACCACCACGCACGTCACTGGGCAGCTGTGAGGATGAAGTCCCCCAGTGGTTCAAGTGTCTCAGAGCCTGCCCGGGTTTAGGAAGTCCCGCTCCCTTCGGGGCCCCAGGCAGCCTGAGGGGAGGGGGCAGGACCTGGACGCTTCCCACCTTGGCGCAGGTGCCTCCATGAGTTAGAACCGCCCTGTGTGGCGCGGTGGTGACTGCATGGCCTGCGCGTGGCTATGAAGCACTTGACACGTGACTAGCCTGATTTGAGGTATGCTATGCATGTAAAATACACACCAGACTTCATATTGAAAAGGTAAACTACCTCTTTAATTAAACACTTTATGTTGATTCCACATTGAAATGATAATTTGGTAAACAGGATATATTGTTTTAATTGATCTCACAGGGGCTGCTGGACTGGGTTGTGTTCCGTTTCTCCTGGGCGCGCACACACACAAAAACACACACACAGTAACAGCACTGTCTGCAAGCACGGTGAGGATGCACGACTTGCTAACTGGCACTGGGACTGAAGCCACTGCACTCAGAGAGCACTGTTTTCCCCAAATATTTCATAAAAATCAGGTAAGACAACAAAAGGGTGGAAACGACAGACCACGGGAGTCAGCAGCATGGCTGAATTCGCCACAGGAGACTCCAGGCTGAGCGTCCTCTTCTGTCCCGCTTTCCCCCACCCTGCTCTAGAGAAGTGTCTTTCAAACTCCCAGATCCACAGTTAGGAAATGCATCTGCTTTCACGACCCAATCTCCCCCATACACAGCAGTACCAAAAACAACATCCTCGCCGTGTGAAATCCATTGATATTTTCTACTGTTTCAGTTTAGCAGTGGCTGCAGCCCATGAAACGGATTCCAGAGCCTAAGTAACGCACTGAGTTCTAGAGTGTGAGACACACTTCTTGTGCACCGGAGGCTGGAGGAGAGAGCTGCTCCAGAGATGCCAACAGACCACTGAAGTCCAGGCCAGGCCTTCCAAGTGTGGCCTCTGTGCCTCTGAGAACTCAGGGACGAGCCTTCCAGCAGCTACTTCAGAAGAAAGCTAACCGGTAACAAGTCAGCTCCAGTTAGAGCAAAAACCACCTTCAGAAACAACACACACCCTACTGATTCATCTCTCATCCTAGGGGAAAGCACGCCTGAAGAGGTCCATTCTGACTTTTTCTGGCTTCATAAACCAGAACAATTCCTAGTCCATGAAGATGAGAAGTTCCCTTTAAGACACTACTTTCCTGAGGTTCTAGAAGACAAATATTCATTCTAACATAACATGGTTTTTGAAATTTTGAAGCAATCGCTTATTTTTTAATAGCTATTCCCTGGGGAACTGAGTAACCTGGCTTTGTGTTTGAACCAAGATGGCCTGATCAGATCACTAGTGAGTCTTTCCCCAAGCAGAGGCAAGACTACAATCCTCATAATAAGGATGATGAAAAACAGAACTGCGATGGGGGGAAATTTGTATCTCAAGACTGCTGGAGAGCCCGAGAGGCTGATCGTTTTCATTCCAAATTGGAAACTCGGCAGTGGCCTCCTTCCCGGAACCCCAGCGCCCAGCCACTCTGCGCTAGCACCCACACCTGGCAGCTTTCTGGGAAGCCAGTCTAGTTTCTGGATTATAAACTCAAAACTAGCTTGCAGTCCTCCACCTTCTGAGACAGATGCTACTTTAGAGAGAATAAAGGCATAAACCTACAATATCAAAGAGCATGGGGAGCGGGGCCATTGGCAGAAGAGGCCTCAACAAACTTCCAGGACAGAGGAGGCAGCGGGCCCATGCCTCCTTCTGACAGTGGGCTCCATGGGGCGGGGGGTGGGGTGGATGGACTGCGCATGCCTGTCACTGCCTTGTCTGTGACTCCAACAGTTCTGAGCGTTTGTCCCCAGGCAGAAGCAAAGGAACTGGACGACTGTGGTGAGCAAGCGAGCAGGGAGCCGATGCCCAGGCAGAGCCCCCCTTCCAACACCCGGGAGGCCTGGCGCTGCCCTGTGGAGAGTGGACTTCCGTCCCCCCATGCAGGGCTCCTGCCCCGCTGTCCACTGCGTCCTTCTTCTGCTCACAGAGATGGCTGAGCCTTTCGCCCGATGGGGAAACAGCAGGGCTGGGAGCAGAAAATCTGCCTGGAGCAGACAGAGGTCATTAAGGGAACAGAAGAAAACGTCAAAAGAACAAGAAACTCTGAAAAGGAGACAATTACAGAAAAAGAACAAGCTGCTGGAAATTGAACATATTTTGCCCCTCTAGCCTCTCCCAAAATAAAAAATAAGTCAGTAACGGAACAAAAGATAAAGTTGAGGCAGTCATGCCGAACCAGGAGCCAAAGAAA